CTGCGTCCCCACGGCGCCTAACGGCAGCCCCAAGGCACGAGGCACAACCCACGGCTCGCACACGGACACACACAACACAGCGACAGCCAAGCACCGACCTTGGGGTTTATTTTTTTTATCTTTTTTTATTTATTTATTTATTTTTAAACACGCGTTTTTAACCCCACATTTCAGCCCCCGCAGAGGGCTTCCAAACGGGAGCCCCCACTCCGCGTCACCGAGGGCCATCCAGCGCTTGGGAGCGAATCCGCTCACGTAGATCCCGCCCGCGTTCACGGACAAGGGGCGTTTTACCAGGTTCTTACCAGAAAATGCAGGCCCTGCAACGCGACTGCCGAGGAAGGGCAGCACGGTGCACTGCAGCGCTGCAGCAGCCGTCCTGCCGCACGAGCGGCACCGCCGATGCCCATGGTACATACTGTCACTGTACACAGGAACAGGCTMTCTACGTTATATATACACAGTACCAACGTATACGGTACCAACTGTATAGAGCGTAACTATATATCGAGTACCCGCACACCCCAGGCGTCCAAACAAGCTCTAGCAACACCGAGTGAATGCAGCGCTGCACAAGGCTCCGAGGCGGCTTCCCGTGCCCGCTCCTCCAGCCGCCCCGTCCTTCCTCCCGTGAGTCACTTCCTCCTGTGGCTGTGGCTCTTGAGCTCCTCCAGCTCCTTCTCCATCAGGTGGGACTCGGCTGTGGTCTCGGAGAGCTGCAGCGTAGAGGAACAACAGAAACAAGCTGCCGGCCCAGCCTCCACCTCGCGTTGTGTTTGCGGGGCTAAGGCCAGCTCGGCGAGGCCGCGAGCGTCCCGCACCTCCCTGTCCCTGTCCCAGGCACGTCCCAGGCAGCTGCTGTCCCTCCAAACAAGCGCCTGCCTCATTGGAGGAGAAGATAAGGAGCCATCTGKGTCTCACAAGCTCTCTCAGTGACACTCGGGATTTCACAGTGCTCTTTTCCCAGAGATGTTGCTGAGATTTTACAGCCACAACCCAGCACTCCTGGGAGCATTTGCTGAGAGGGAAACTGGAATTTCACACCTCACCAAGACAGCCTCGAGAGATGGATTTGCTCCTCAGTGCAGAAAAGAACAAAAAAGAGCAASCATCTTTCCAGTTTCAAAACACAGAATAAAGGAAGGAAAATGATAATGGGATAAATACTTGTTCAGATTGACATAGAAGTTAACCCACTTAACAAGCAACTGAGCAAAGATTCTCAGTTAGCTTCCAGACTCTAGGTGTGAGAAGCGTAGGGTTGAATTTCAGTTTATACAGGGCCTGGGGGCTCTTTCCCCTGAAGGTTTACAGACACATGAAAGCCCATTTGTCATGCCAAAAGGAAGGTCTTGGAGCCTTAATCTTCTGTGGCCACAAAAGGCGACTGTGACCTGGCTTCCCAAGCGGCAGGAAGGTGGCCCCATACTCAGTGCAGAAAGAGGACACACACTTGCTGAGGCTCCCATGTAATCCTGCCCCAGTCTCCACTGAAGTCAAGCTCTTCTGCCAGGGGAACCTTCCCCCTCTCTTGGGGGGAAGCAGAAGAGATCAGACTTCACTCTCACAGTCACTTTATCATTAAAATCCTCTTGCACGGTAGCATAAAGCAGAGTGCAGAGCATACCCTGCAATGAGAACTGCAGCTTTTGGTGGTCCCAGAGCTTGTGGGACCATTCCCACATTGGAATGGGCAGGCAGTGGCTCAGAGACTCACCATGTCCAGCAGAATATCCACTTTGAGTCGAAGGAGGTTGTTTTCTTCTTCCAGCTGCTGGTTTCGTTTGCGCAAGCGCTGCATTTCCCTGCGATCCCCAGTGAAGCTTCCTGACTCTAGAGGAGACAGAGAGATCAAAATTAGGATTATCGGTCACACAAAACTATTTTGGATCAAAGCAAGAAGAGTTTCATCCTACCTGCGACCCACTGGCCATTTTCAAACTTCAGGCTCTGTCCGGCAAGGTTCATGGTGGGGATGCCATACTCCAGGCCCAGCTCAACCTCACGGGTTGATCTATCCAGCTGCAGGGAGAAGCCCCAACTCTGATCTTCACAGAARTGCAAAGCTTTACCTCTTATCCTCTCTTAATACCTTACAGTGACTGCATTTTGATGGAAGTTGCTWGTGCGACCAGCCCACAAGTCTGAAATCCTACCTCGTGTAGCCACGTGCTGCTACAGTAGAGGAGCCTCTCACTACCAGGCTCCAATCTCCTCTCACACAAGCATACACTCCACCTTGTGCAAAGAAGCTTCATCTCTACACCAAATCCTTACTACCTCGGGACTGAAAGCGGAACATGTTCATTCCTTATGGTCATCACAGAATGATGACCTAAATTTTGTCATCATTCTTGACCTAAGAATGATGTCCTAAAATTCCTAAGGTGTTACAGAACAGGTGAGGCCTGGAGGGAGCTCTGCTGAAGCAGGGTTAGGCTGCCCACAAATGCATCCTATCAGACTTTGAATGTCTTAACGGATGGAGACTCCAAAATCTCTTTAGGTAAATGGTTCTAGTTCGTCTGGTTCTAGTTTTCAGCCACCCTTATAATAATTAAAAAAAAAAAAAGTGTTTTCTGATGTTCCACTTGAATTTCCTGTGTTTCAGTTTGTGCCCATTGCTTTTCACCCTGTCACTGGGCACCACAGAGAGGAGCCTCGTTGTGTCTTCCTTACACACTCCGATCAGATATTTATATATACGGAYGACATCTCCAGAGCTTTCTCCTCACCCATGCTTAAAAGAAAGGATCATCTCCATCGACCTGCTGGAGATGCTCCCCATGGATCTGGATTAGAACCACTAGTTACCAGCTCCTGGGGAAGCCGCTCTGGACTGCGGTGGCTGATAGATGCTACCCTGGCACGTGCCATTGCTACTCGGCATCTGGTCACCAGCCATCAGAAACGGATCCTGTGCCACAGGAGGAAAGGGACAGGGGCGGGAGCATCCAAGGGGAGGATGTCTTAAAAAAACTTTAACATACAAATTCTTAGCACAAACCACCTGCTCCTGGTTAATGAGTACTTAATAGGGCTGCAAGGTGTGGGCTCCAGAACTTACCAAGTGCAAGTTGGAGAGAGAAGCTGACTTTCTGGGCGGCGTTTTCTTCGGGCTAAACGTGTTCCCAAAGAGAGGCATCGTGTCCTACTGCCCGAGTGCCCGTGGCGCTTCCCAATGCTTTGCTCTGGTTTCCAAACACAAAGAAAACGTGAGGATTAGGAATGTTAGGGCTCAAAGGGAAATCTAACCGGCAATTACCTATAGAATTGTCAGGGTTTCATGATTCTGACATTTATAGCTTTTAAGCACTACTTCTTCTTTAAAACAACACATCTTTCCAAACTGTTAGGCAACACCTACTTTTGAGGTCACTGCTTCAAAATAGATGGACTCTTTCAAGAGGTGAAATGTAGGTCGTTGCTACCTCAGCTCTGGTTGTAGCTAAGACACCATCGCTCCTTCAGAGGCTCCTCTCCATCAAAAGTTTCCTCAAGCTAAAAAAAAAGGGCTTTGAATTTTGTGAGGACTTTATTAAATATATATATAAAACACAAATTGGTGCAATTCTGTTGTTTTACAGCCTTTTTTCACCCCCTAAAAGTGCGCCCGGGGCAGAAGCGCCTGGGGAACTACCGAGCAGGGCTGCCCGCCGCCATGACGGGCCGCCCGCCGCCATGACGGGCCGCGCCCCTCCCGCCTCGCACCTGCCGCGCCACGTGACCGCGCGAGCCGCCCGGGGAGGCGGGAACGGCGCGAGGCGCTGACGTCACCCCTCGCGCTAACTCCCCCCGCCCCTCCGCGCGCCCCTCACCTGCGCACGACGTGGCTGCGCCCCCTTCTCTCGCCCCCCCCCCCCGCCGCCTCTGCGCAGGCGCACTCCTCCCCTGCCCGCTCCCCCCACCTCCGAACGGCCCGCGCGGTCCGCCCGCGGGCGGTGGGGGAGCACGGGACGTACCACCCGTGAGGGAGGGGGGGGCTCTGGAGGTCTCGCCCTGGGAAACGGCGCTGGGGAGCACGGTGGGATTTATCCCACCTCGCGGCAACCATGGGACACGTCTCTCAAGCTCCCCTCCACATCTTACCCGCGGAACAAGCGGGAGCAGCGAGGGAAGAGCATGCCCGGACATCCCTCCCTTTCCCCGCGTGGTCGCGCCAGCCCCGCGCGCGGGGGCGGCCGAGCCGGACTGTTCCATGGCGCTCCCCTTAGCTGGGGGGGGGGGGAAGACGCGCCGCGGCAGCCCCCGCACTTACCGCTCGCGTGGGCTCGGCCGCCGCGCGCCACGGAGCCGTTGGCGGCCGTTGCGTTGCCGTGGTGACGGCGGGGCGCGCTCCTCCTCCTTCCCCCCCGGCCCCGCGGCGCCCGCGCCGCCCGTGAGGGGGATGGAGGCGGCGGCCTCGGCCTCGCGGGGCGACGTGCAGGGGCCGCCGCCGTGGGAGCCGCCGCCGCTGTGGGAGGCGGCGGAGGCCGCGCCGGAGGGCGCCGAGGAGGGCCCGGCCGGTATCCTCAGCGGAGGGAATCTCCTTGTTTGGGAACTGGGGGAAGTCCAGGGTGCCTGCGGTTCTGGACTCCGGGCGCTTGTTTYCCCTCAGCTTTCCCCCGAAACAGCCGCTGTGTCCCAGGCAGGCTGCAGGGCTTCCCTGCTCAGCAGCGGAGACAGAGCCCGCTTTGCTTGGTTGTTTTATCTCCTTTTTATTAATGAGATAGCGGGCTAATGACCTGCCTGAAAGGCAAACAATAAGGAAAGCAAAAGGAGGGAGAGGGAATAAAAGTGCCAGGAAGGAGAGGAGAAAATGTGACAGGAGGGTCTCCAGCCTTTCCATTTTGTTTACACGTTTATTCATATTTCACAACCATGTTCCTTGACGGTCTTTTCATTCTCAGACTGCTCCATTGGCACTCTGGCTGAAGTGAACCAGAAAATTGTTCACTCAGAACAAGAATTTGAGAGCTACCACAATGCCAACATGGTGACTGCAGACGAGGAAGATCTCCAGTGCTAGAGTGTATTCCAGTGGTCCAGATAATAGTATAAATCTTCCTGGACATGTGCTTTAAAAACAGTGGCCCAACATACTAGAATATATGRGCTTCTAGCCCTGTGTGTTAAAATCTGTGCACTGGAAATTCATCATCTTTTTATGAGAGGAGGTTACAGCAAAACCCTTAAAACTAGAGCAAAAACTCGCAGCTCTAAATAGAGGTTTTGTGGCTTTTATCAACCTTTATATGCATGTGTGTGGGCATATATTGCATAGGAGGATAAAAAGATCAATGGCCAGAAATAAAGTGAGAGCAAGAATCCTGGAAGGAAGATTGGGACAACATAGACTCATGGTTTTGAACTGAAAAAAAAAAAAAATGTAGCCAATATAAGTGCTTTTGATAGTCATAGACCACACATGACAGTGGAACTGAGCTCTTAATGCTCGTTTTCTTTCTTTCTTTCTTTTTTTTTTCCTTACTGTTGTCAAAGGCAATGAAACATCTTGAGTTTTCAAAGAGATACTCGGAGAAGAAGAGCTCCAGACAAGAGGAGTCATTCCCTGGGACACCCAAAGACAAAGGCACATATATTTCCTGTGTAGATACTTCAGGGGTTTGTTASGGAGAAAAGGAATGGACGTTAAGGAGCTCTGGTCAGGACATACGCTGCCATGTATACAGGGATCTTGATGTTCATCTTCCTAGAAGACTCCTCTATTTAGTTTCTGCTGCCTRCTTCCAAACTGGAATAAGCCACCAGCATCTCTGTGTTCAGCATAGCCGTGCGTGAGAGTTCGGTTTGCAGGAAACAGGTTAAGGGCTGCGATATGTTACAAACTGTCCCGTTTATTAAGGGTCTCAGTGAATCTGTGACAAAGCCGGAGGCACGACTTGGTTGCGTGGCATGTATCATGCAGAAAACATCTTTGTTCTGTGTGTTGCTGGAAACATAATTATCCCAGTTAGTATTGGAATACTTCCTGTTTATCATAATCTTGATGTGTTCATATATTTTTTTTCCTAGAGATGATTTGAGGGGGGAAAAAAACTGCCTTACAACACTATGAGATCAAAATCTAGTGACATATACCACATAAGTTGATACCTGTCATAAATATTCAAATACTGTAAACAAGTTGCGTGTTAACCTTTAGCTAAGGTTACCACCTTTAGCTAAGGTTACCACCTTAGCAAAGATCCTTCCTATTTGTTTGTGTGTTTTGTTCGTTTTTGTTTGTTTGTTCTAATAGTAAGAAACTGGGGTGTTCAGTGTTCCACTCCCTTTTCCTTAAATACTCCCCAGTATATTTCAGAATAGGCACATGGCACAGCAGAGACCATGCCTTATCACTTATGATTGATCTGAATTTGCTCTCCAATATGCCCTGGTGTGACCTCAGTATTCTCAGGCTTTTCTTTTCTCTGCAGATCAAGGCAGAAGGAAGACACGTAGCTTCATGCAGAAGTGCAGCCACGCTTTGCAGGGCTCAGATGTTGACGTGCTGGCTCAGGTCAGGTTCACTTCAGAAGTGATTAACCTGTTTTCAAGAGACGGAATCCTTCCCCCTCCTTCTGTCCATGATGCACTTCTTGAGAGAAAAACAGAATCCATTTTTTTTTCTAGGAGATCTTTTAGAGGCAACTGAGGCCTAAACTTTGGTTTTGAAGATGGTTTTGTAAGGTTTAAGAATGCTAACCTGTATCAGCTCACTGACTGCCAAGTGATTTACTTATTAACAATCTGATAAGATGTGATAGGTGACTAATGCATCTGTTTCCTCCCATATGCATCCTAGAGATTAAAAATACTTTATACTCTTTAAAGTGACATTTTATGTTAATTTTACTGTCACTTATTTTTTAAGTCTCATCAGAGTCTTGTGGGACACAGAAGAAAAAACAGATTATGTATTATCAGAACATGTTAGAAACTTCCTTGCTGTGTCCTTTCTTTCCCATCCCACCCCCAAAATGCCAGAGTACTTCAGAACAGGGCACAGTGGAAACGTACCAATATCCCGGATACAATAAGTATAAACTGACACCACTGCCAAATGGGATATTGCTCACAGATGTCGTGGAGAAAACACTGCGTGCTCAGAGAAAGTCCKCAAGTGGAAAGGTATATTTATGACTTGGACAAAGCCAGGCAGCCTGGTTAAAAAGGTTTTAAAAAAAGGCCTTTTTAGTTATTTGTTTATTTATTGCCAGACTTTACTTCCTACAAGAACACTGCGGAATTTCCTTACTTCACCAGTCTCCCAGGCCATTCTGGTGGATAGCTTTTGGTGGCTCTTTCTCCACTTCTATCAGGTGAGGTATCAAGGCAAGCTGCTTGTTGCTATTTCTAGCATTGCTTCCCAGGATATTGCAATATTTTCTCGCCATGGGATAGTTTGGCTTGTGATGCTACATGATATTGAAGCATTATGGGCARCGTTGTGCGTGTAGCACACAGCACTGTGGACTTTTTGTAATAGATGAAAGCTGCTTTTGGCAGTTTGCAGCTCTTTAGGCTTTTTCTGTCCAAGAGCAATCCAGAATCTATAGGTTAGAGGACCTCAGAGTTGCTTTTAAATCTATAGTGTATTTCAGTTGGTTTGCTTTTTCATATATATTGTAAGATTATTTTGTTCTAATAATAACAGAAATCCCAGTGACTAGAAAAATCAGTAGACCCACTCTAGGCTTACTCAGATGTCAGAGAATGTTTATTTTTTGATTTCTGCTGCTTAAAATCTGTTACATGTACTGATGGGCTACACTAAACCAAGTTTAAAAACTAAAAAATGATTTTTTTTTTGCATAATGAAATTACTTCCACACCCAATTAATTTCTTTCATTTGAGATATTCCTGTCTCCTTGGTGCTCTGTGCTCTGGAGTCAGTTAAGCCCCTTCTGATAAAGAAACCCCTCTTTTTCTCCCATTATCTCTCCTTTTCATGACAGCCCAACCCAGCAATAGAGGAACAGCTGTTTGATCGTATTGCAAAGAATTACGCTTTCCTCCTGCTTGACTATCACCAATTCCGCCACCAGGAGGCCTTCATTGAGGTGAAGTTAGACAGAGAAAACAAAAAGGCTCTTATTTCAAACAGTGAAATGAGATGGAGAAATCCATTGCCACAGCAGTAATCTAAAACTAATACTATAAGTTGATTTTTGCAAGAATCCTGGTATCCMACTCTCAGCTGGACCGTTAACTTTTGTGCATATTGGGAGCATCATGGGTGGTAGCCCTGCAGTTTGAATCTAGTGATAGCCAGGGAAGTTCATGCTTTTGTGTTTTGAATAATAAACCTTCTAATAAAATAATATGGTGGGAAAACAGTGTTTTAATTTCTAGTTGCTGCCCTCTGCTCTCTCTGTCATCCACGAACTGTACTTCAACCTACTCTTTTAGTCAGTTATATACATATTCCCTGGGTCTTTTTTGTTTGTTTTGTTTTTCCTCCAAAGTCTTTGCCTCAGAGCAGGTTGTTATTGTCTCCTAAAAACTCTGAATATCTATACTAACAGCCCAATTCCTCTCTTTCTTTATGCTAACCTGWTTTTCTGTAAAGAAAGAAGGAAGGGAAATATATTTTTTTTAATATTGTACCTTTTTTTCTAATTATGGGGCCTGCATCATTTGAAACTTTAGGTATCCCTTAATCCAAAATGAAGAATATATAAACTTTCAGATTACCTAGGCAGTAAAAGTTTTTCTGAACTAGAAAACTGGGGCATTGATAACTGTGCCAATACTCAAGCTAAGTATTCAAAGTAGCAGTCATCCCTTTGGGTGAAATGCAGACTTTGTCATTCCAGATCTGTTCTAAGAACAGCTCTCAGCTAAAATGTCTATGGGGTTGTGATTTTTCTTTGCTTAACTCCTAGGCTTTCCCTTCATTGCTGAGTCAAGCCTTGTACGTTTGCTTTTGCTCTGGTTTCCCAAGATCACATTTCAATACTGATGAGTTCAAGACACAGCTCTGTAATACAATTTCAGAGTGGATGGCAGGTGAGAGAGGTTTTTGTTTCTGTCCAAAAGTGCAGCTCGTGCAAGCATAGGCTCAAAATTGTGCTATTCCTTGTTTTTTAAACTCCCCCTCTGCCCAGAATTCAGACATTCTTTTCAGACATTTACATTTATTTACATGACTGTTTCTTACATGTGCTAGCATGTAAAACAATAGACTGTAACCCCTGATGGATCCCCTGAGCAAAACAGCAGAAGAAGTGGGTAAGATGCGCTCTGTATGCAGCTTATGTGCCCCTGAAGAGGGGTCTGAATCACCCTGTTGCTGTCCCCACCACAGTGCCCACCTGGATGGGTCCCACTCCCTGCTACCTACCGGCTTCTGCGTCTTTGGTTTCCTTCTTCTCAGTGCCTCTCTCTTGCTATCACTGTTTCTCTTTTGTGAATGACTTAAGATCTCCTTTTCAGAAAACTATGAAATATTAAACTTCTAGTCTATAGTTCCTAATTAGTAGATTCAAGGAGACTGTACTACTGTAAACCTCTTTCTTATGTTCTGCTCTAACCTTCCATAGCTGGCAACTGTTGGAGACAAGATGTAGCAGGCCTTTTGCCCGAGCTACTCCGAGATTTATAAACGGAGCAAGCAGGGTCTAGCTTTTAAATCTACTTCTAAACTTATTTATGGGGTGTCTTAGAGGAATATCATCTGTGTTTGGTCTGTACACACAAATGATGCAGCATCACGTGGAATAATGTGAAGCTTAGTGTGTATAGTGCACACTGATGATGTAAGAAAAGTACTATTTTTTTCTCTTTCTTGTTCATTTGTTGTTTCTTCTTTCTGTCCTCTCAGGCACACTACCAATCCCACAAAGCTACAATAACTGGGACTACTCCCAGTTAGAACCGGAGAGATTCAAGATGAGCAATCTGGAGTCACCAAAAGGGAAGCGTGGAAATAGTAAGGACACTGATGAAAACAGTTCTCCATAATTATTTCTGAGCTAAATAGGGGTTAAGTATCCAGAACAGGCCTCCACTTTTCTTCCCAGGATGTCCTGGGGAGAAATCCACAGATCTTATTCCATGTTGGTACTCTATGTTGGGAAGGTATGTCTGCAGGCTGCCTTTTATGAAAAGCAGGATCAGGAATATGATGAGTTGCATGATGTGGTGTCTACAGTAACATGAAAGTGGACCCTGTGTTCCCTAAAGTCATTCCCAGTCCTGGATGTCTCACGTAAGCATGTGTGCAAATGAGGTGGCTTTTCAGGAATGACGAGGATAAAAGCTAGGAACGACTAGTGTAAAAGCTATTCAAGGATACGCAGGAGATTGAGAGTCTGTTTCTATGGGGCCTGCAAAGGCCAGGTGCTGTAGGAKCAACCATGCTGAATGTATGTTTTATTTACTGTTTTTTGCTGTTTTAAAGCTGCACTGTTTTTAGGGGTAGTGAGGGATGCAAATATAAGTAGCTTATTCTACTCACTGAGAGCCTCAGGGACCACACAGAAGTGGTTTTAGTAGTTTTCAGCTTCTATCACATAAATAGCTGTATAGTGGTGTTGCATTTAAAGGGGACAAGGCAGGATCTTCACGGATTCATAGGGAAAAGAGAGAACCTTGAAAATATAGGTTATGAACAAAGCATCCAAAATCAAGATGCCCAAGAAAAATGAGCCTGGTAAGGGAGCTGTCTCTACATAAAGTTCCAAGTCCTAGATTCAAAACTGATTAACTGTTTTTTTTTTGTGTGTTTTTCATTCTCTCTGCTTTCCCCAGATTTCTTCAAAGCCAGCAGCAGTCCAGAGAAGACTAACAGGCACAGTCTACCTCAATGGAAGGTAAAAAGTGTGTTCACAAAGATGAACAACCAGCAAGCAGACATGTCCCAGAAGCCAAGGCTTTAACTGGAAGTAGCCATTGCTGATCTCATCTTTTCTCTTGTTCCTGCTACTGACCAGATTTTTGTTTTGATGAATTTATCTGTCACATGACATGAAAAGAGGCTTTTCTTTCACCRTTAGGAAGGCATTCCTTATTCCATTGCCTATAAATGTACTCTCCAAACAAAGACACACAGCAGATAGCTCCTTCAGAAAAGAAGCAAGGGAAGAAAAGGCAAAACTATATTGAACTCTGATATATGCACCAAGTGCATATTGTGAAAAATTTCATGTTTATAACATTAATGGGAAGGGAAGGAGCACCATATTTAGAAATTGGTTTACAGTGCACAAAACTACGTGATTTAATTTATTTTGGAAGTAAAAGCAGATAAAATTCTGAGTCTCTGAAGGCTTAAATTATGTTAAATCAAAAGAAATCTAAATTGTTTTCATGGGTTAGCAGGCAAACTTTTTTTTTTTTTCCCCCAAATCATTAATTTTCTGCTGAAGTAACAAACTACTTCTATTTCCAATTTAAACAACTCATAGACTCATAGTGATAACTTGCTATCAGGGATTGTAGTGGTATGTCAAGCCTTGTGCAGAACATGGGAAAACATTCCACCTAAATTGAGTCAGGTGAGCCCATTTTCCACAGGCTCCAAAAAAAAAAAAAAAAAAAAAAAAAAAAAAAAAAAAAANGATCTAGTCAGTAAACAATGAGGACTGCAGTTTGCAAAACAGGTCTCCTGATTTCATAGTTAGTTACCTCTCAAGTAGTTATGCTTTCAGAATAATCCACAGTAAGTGCTCATTTTGCAGGCCCTGGGAACTGCATTGCAGCTGCTTTAGATGTGGCTTTAATTATGAGGCTTTCAGTGAACTGCTGTTTTGAATTCTTGAGGTATGACTGACCTGGATGATAGGCTAATGCAAAAGCATTACTRTTGTTTTGGATCCAAAATACAAAATATCTTACAGCATCTATTRGAAGTTCATTGTTCTTTATCGGGTAAGTGTTTTGTGAGTGTGTTAGGAGGAAGGGAAAAGATGGTTGTTTCTCATGCAAACAATTGAAAAGTTCTAAGCATAGAGAGCAGTTAAAGGAAGAAAGAGAAGAGTAAAAAGCATATGTGAACAAAGTAGCACAGAAAGAAAGTATGAACTGTGAAAGGAATAGGAATGGTAAATATAGAGAGAGACTAGATTTAATAGGAGTCTAGAAACACTGAACCTGATAGAGAAACCAGCGAGAATAGTCAAAGGTGCTACTGATACAGCCAATCATTCTGCAGAAATGCTTTGAGAATAAACTGGATCGCATTGTTCTTAAACTGGCTTTTGATTTTTCCTGTGCTGTACATTGAAGTGGGAAAGGGTGATCAGYACAAAGATTTTTGTTAAATTCTACATGCTTGGAATGTAAGTTGGCAATAGAGCAAGGCTTTCTCTGTAAAATCTGAAATTAGGGACCCTGAATTCTAGTCCCTGAAATATTCAGGGACTTTTTTTGTTTGTTTGTTTGTTTTTGTTTTGTTTTCCAAAGATCTGCATATTGGAAGTGGGAATGTCTTTATGTTGTGCTTTGTTCATTTTATGGAAGCAATTTCTGGAGTTGATCAATCTTGAGAAATGCAAAATCCTAGCTTGCTTCAGCTAGAGACGGCTGACTGCAGCGATGGCTGAGCATTTTATGGAACAGTTTAGTCACTTACTTTTTACTAGTTAAAGACATTGTCCTGGCATCATAGCTATTTTCCTAACCTATAATTACCTTCTACCACCCTGAAATTTCTTCTACAATTGCAGCTGGATGTTTTTATTCCTTTTCCTGTGACTGCACTGTGGTTTTCCTAGCACTAGTRCTTCTATATTTTACCCAGGAACAGTAATGTTTCACTTATGGATTAACTAGATTTTTTCTTTTTTCAAACATGTACATGAAAATTGAGGTATTAATCCAACCAACATGGCAAATGACTCAAACTCTTTTTCTGTTTTTCTTTTTTTTTTTCTTTTTGCTTGAAGGAACTAAAACATGGACAGGCTTCTAGCAAGTACCAACCTCATCAGACAAGCAAAGACATCAGGCCCAAACAAACGAAAGATAAAGTAGTGACTTTTCCAGGTATATGACTGGGAAGAAATGTAAAGTGTTATTTACTTTACTAAGACTTTGGAGGCTTGCTGTTCCACGGCTCTTTTCCATACAATAATATGCACTCCATGCAAAGCAGGAAGGTGTGCGTGCATATATATAGGTATATGTTTGTTGATCCCAGGTAGCTGGAATCCATCACAGCTGCTTGTATGATGTATATCGTGTGTGTATGTGTAATTAGTGTAAATACTTCCTTACATACTGGATTCACTGACATGCTAAATCGAGGTCACCATATTCCTACTGCTTGTTCCTTATTACAGACTTGCAGACCCAAGATGCAAAGCTTGGAAAGGATCAGATGGAAAGTTGGAAGGAGACTCAACATATGCTGAAAACCATGAGATTAAAAGCAGCACCTCATCCTAGAGAGGTGTGTAGTGTTTGAAGAAAGAATGGGACAGGTTGCCCTAGGCTGAGTGACTTTTTCTGTCTTCTGCAGACAATAGCTGGTCTTGCTACTATCTACATATTTCCTGCAATACAGAAAAAAACAATCTAAAGGGCAGTTGCTGGTATGGGAGCAGTCTGGTTTTGGGCTGCTTAGTGTTGTTCTCTGTCCCTAAGCCAGTAAGATCCTTCTCCTGTCCCTGTTAAAACCTTCATCTTCCAAAGAATGGCTGAGAGGACTTGGCTCTTTTCTCTGGAGTGGGTCCTACACAGACTGTAAATAACCTCCATTGTATTCAAATTATTGACAAATACTGCTTCCAAATTCCAGCGCTTTGTGTAARTTTCTATTTTTATACCAAGGACAGTTTTGAAGTGTGTAGCTGTGTGTGCTTTTCAACTTAACATTTGCTTTTTAGAGACTTTCATACAGTGTTGGTGACAAACTCTATACTGCGTGCTTACTTATACTGTGTCAGGAATTTCCTTTCTTCTTCTGTCTAATATGTAAACTGAAGCAACTCCAAAAAAACCCTCTCAGACTCCAGAGATGATTTGCAGATGCTTTTACTTTGGCTAGAGAGAGTGTCTTCAAGCTCTCTTGGTCATTCCTTACAGAGGTGGCTGTTAACGCTCATCAGCTTCTTAGCTCCATTTGCTTTTGCTGCATTAGCCCCGTGACAGCTGGGGTGGGGAACAGTGGCTTTTTAGCTAAAAACATCTCCTGACTGCAACTATAATACCAAATATTACTTTGAAATCCAAGAGTTAACTAYAGTGTGCCATGTGCTCTCCTACCTGTCACGTATCCATTTCCCTAGGAAAAGGGATCATGTGTGCAATTTGGTTTTAGAATCCCGGAGCAATTCCTCCTTTGCATTGCCTGGCCATTAAAGCAGCAAGTGCTGCCATAATGACCCCATTAAGTGGGAAAAGAATAATAAACACAGACTAGGCCAACATAGGAAGAAAAACATGCAGTGGATACTGGGGCTTATATGGAGTTCAGGGGGAGTTGTGTACCTCCCACTGAGGTTGAATTTCCTCCCACAGTTGAGTTTCAGAGACAGATGAGTATCATTTATAATCACCAATTGAGTAAAAGCACCAGGAGGAGAGCTGATAAATTTTCTTCAGATACAGAGGGAATTATGGAGAAAGATGCAATTGCAAGGCTGATCAAGACACCATGATAATCCAAGGAAAGGGAAACAGACTCAAACATAATCAGGTTAATAAATCACTGAATTTTAAAAATGCAAAAATGAAGAAAATTATTAGCTGGACCATTATTGTAAAGTAAGGCTCTAGGGATAGCAAACCTGAAGGAAGAATTATTTTAAGGCTGACTGCAGCTCTTTCAAGAGCTCAAAATAATTGTGTGATGATACTGTCAATGCCTATCTGAGTTGGGAAATGAAATCACTTGTGATCTCTTTTGGCCACTAGCCTGGCAAACATATGGAATACAAAGGGAGCAAGATTGTTTTTTTTTTTTTTTTTTTTTTTTTTCTTGCACACAACCTCGCTTGTAGTAGCAGCAGGCAAAGCCAAGAGTGGAAAACTGGCCAAGGGATGGGACTGGTTCTGAAGCACCGCTGGTTTAAAACAAAAGCTGCTACCAACTAAGAGGCAGTGACAGAAAACTTTGATTTTTCCAAAGCCACAAGATATGTGGAGACACTTTAAAAATAATTACTTTTGCAAGCAGAGGTTCTTTAATTTTTGGTTTGTTTGTTTTAACAAATGTCTGTCGGACCCATGCTGAACCTCTTCCAACTTTGATTTTTTTTTCTTGTAAAATGCTGTTCTTGCATGTGACAYGTGAACTGTGTTGTAACCTGGAAAATTAAAATGTCTCTACTGCCTGCACTTTAAATACATACTTGTTTCCGAAATGTTCCAATGAAAATGCTGGGCTGAGTACAAAACACAGCACTGTACTTCATGTCATTATTCAGTCTACTTGACAACACAACGCTCAGCTTCTGTGAGCTGGAATATATTTGAGGAAAACATACTCCATTAATTATAACTTTTTAAACTCGTAACACTGAATGCCATTTATATATATATATATATAAATATTCTGGTTGTAAAACTGCTTTGTTTTATTTTAGATTGTATTTCAGCTCTATTGTGTGATTAAATTAGAGGAGCATTGTCTTTTGTTTTTGCAATGACAGTTAAGAAAATACTCGCAGTATTGCCAGCTTGTTTGTATTAGCAATCAGCATTTCTTTGGTGTGAAGAATGCACACACAGTACTGTGGTTTGCAACATAGTAAATGCATCTATCAGGCAATTTTCTTGTTTTAGCTCCATTTTGGTGAGTGTTGTGTTTAATTTTTTTTCTTTTTCAGCTTTCTCCTAAACAAGGCTCTCTTTGCTCCTATCTCTCTCCCTCATTTTTGTTCAGATGAGCAGCACAATTAATGCAAGTAGTAGAAACGGAAAGCCGTTTAGGTAAGGGAAAATATGAGAAATGGCTTTCTGACTTTAGCCCAGGGGTCTAACTCTAGAAGGAGCAACAGGAGATGTTAGTCAGGGAGAGCATTTGAGCCAGGCCACACTCCATAGTCCGCTCTGACGCTGCCTTAGTGTCGGATTAGCCTTGCTCTGTGCCTCAGTCTCTTGGATTATTCACTTGTGGCCTTTAACCAGGTCTGAGGATGAGCTTTAACTCAAATGCAGGCTTGTTAATTGCTGTAATTGCTTTAGCTACAGCCAGGATATATGCTTAATCCATGACTGTCTGTCCTTGGTATTGGGTTTCCTTTGAGCTGAGAGTGCCCCTGTGCTTGTTCTAGCTTGTCAGCTCCCAGTGAAATCCAGCAGTATTTCAGCCTCTAGTTAATAAAGCATGTTGTTACGCTTAAAATCCTATTTATGGGCAAAGAGGAAGCACAACTCATATGCAAGTAAAGCCAAGAACTTAGCTGTTTTGTCCAGCTTCAGCTCAGCATTTCTGTGACCGAGTTCTTTATGCCAGGGGGTCCCCACGCCAGGCACATGTCCTGCTCACGTACCTGTGCTCCTAGRCACTGCATCCTGTGTGTCAACTTCTCAAGGCCTCTGCTACAGTGCCAGGCCTGTAATGYTCTTGTGTTGCATCACTGACTCGTGTTCTTTGCCCTTTTAAAACTAGAAGCTAGGTCAAAGTGTAGTGCCTATTTTTTTAATGTATTATGTAGTGAATGATGGAAAGCAAGGGAATTGCAAGGATAGTTATGCCCTGAAACGGTTCTTTCTCAGAGACCTCTGGTAAAAGATCTAGTCTCCCCAGGCAAACAAACATCTTTCAGGTTTAGTTGATTTCTAGTTTGAACTAGATAATCTCTTGATGTCCTTGACAACCCTCTTTTTTTCTCTATTATTAGTTGTGGKTTTTTTTCTTAATAAATGCATTGTGTATTCTGAAAATGGAAAGCCCCTCTTATCTCCCTTGTCTGCTTGATGCAGTCTGCATATGATGTGTTGATGCATGTTACCAGAATGGCTGCAACTTCAGTTARGTTTTGCAAAGCTTAAAAGATGCTTTTTTTTTTCCCAGTCTGCATTTTTATATTTATTTATCATGTCATCATTTATTATATATGGATAATTAGTAATTTTACAATAATTATTAAAATGTTCACATTGATGAATGGATTGCTATTTCTTCTGATTTTGCATAATTACATACTGACAAGTTATTTTTTTTTTTTTCTGACTGAGAAAACTTTTCCTGAAATCTCCATCTTTTGGGGGTGTGGGGTTGGGGGGAGGCTGGTGGGAGGGAGGGAGAAGGATAGTTAGTTAATTCTGGTTTGCATCTTTTTCTTTTGCAGTCACATCCAGCTTGTCATGGTCCTGACTTCACCTGGCATCTCTTCAATATCAATGGACACAGCCCTCTAATTCATCGTTACCTCCAGAGCTGCAATGCTGAACCACGCTCTGGGCAGGACATCTTGATACGCAGAAGAGAGATCTCTAACCCTATACCATATCCTTAATGATTAATTCAAAATAAATTAGCAGTGTAAAATCTTTATTTTTAATGCAGGATTACTTACATAGCATACTTAAGTATAGCATACTTATATACTTAAGTATGCTATACTTAATAGTAAGTATAGCATACTTATATACTTAAGTATGCTATACTTAATAGCATACTACTGAATATTTTGTCTGGGCCTTGCCTAAAGATGGCAGACTTGGAAAGGGACTCCACACAACCCTACAGTGTGATCCCTCTTCCTTCTATGTAGGCCCATTTTAACCACGTAAACCTCTTGTTACTCCTATCTGGTCTATGAAGCTTGACTGATTTTTACTTCGTTATTCCCATCCYAGCTTTTTCAGTTCATTTTAATTGTGACCAAAAAGAAGGAAAACACAAGTGAGATTTTCCTTCACGCAAAACCTACAGCATCGACCCCAACATATGCAGACCTTATCCAAGAGAGTTTCAGGCGTATTCACACAATGAACGCTGCATTCAGAGAAGTATACCAGAGGCACTGCAGAGAAATTAAGGATTTCGACCAGAGGCAGCAGAAAGAGCAGCAAGAATTCCTTAGGTACGAAAAGACTGTATGGTCTCCTCCTACTGTGTTCTGATAATGTGAATTCAATTCTGCTATTCCTCTCTCTTGCTAGAGGTSCCACCTGTTAGCTAACACCCATATTCATATATTCGCCCATATTCACCCATATATGAAGAGCTTTCGGATGTGGTCAAAGAGATGTGGTGTATGTAGTTAGTTAGACAYAAAAGCTTGGGGGTATATTAAAGCAGTATGGCCTTTCCCTGAGACGGACTTAGATGGAATCTGCCTAGTACTCCCTAAGGGTGTCAAATCAGCAGATTTTGTTTTGGAAGTAAGTAATTTTCATAAGGTCACTGCAGGAGGAGCTAAAGTGAAGCATTAAATATGATTCTATCTAGATTGGAAATTGTAAATAAATTTAAATTTAAATCGTAAATAAACATAAATTCCAAAGCAGTRTAGGACTCATATATTACTTTGATTGCTTTAGGAGATGTAAAAAATATTTTGTGCTTGTTAATATTTGGATTGCTTTTAAACTATTTAATATTCCTTGTTTTTGTCACCTTCCCTTCATTCTCTTCTCACCATGCATTTTCAACTTTACAGGAAGAAAAAGCAATTACTTCAAGAAAGCAGAAAGCTGAAGAATCTGAAATAATCACCGTATCTTCAACCAAAAGTATTCTGCAATTCTGAGAAGATTTCAGGAGTGTCAGAAAAAGAAAAAAAAAAACATTTTTTGTCAGGAACCAACTTTAGATGAAATGGTTTTCTATGGAAAGCAGAAGACATAGGACCTCCAAAATAGATCTTGATGGGATGTTCTCCAGCGGCCAACCATGAGATTCTTCGGTTCTCATTAGGAATAGGCAACGTGCCAACTTGAAAGCTTGGAGAATAAAGCAGTTCATATATTTGATTCTAGTCCCTTTGATCCACACAAGCCTGAATTCCCCTCCCACACTCCTTCAGTCATGATTTCCTTACTGYAAGAATGGATTAAAATGAGTTTTGAAGATGAAAATATGAGCTGGATATGTAACATTTTTATAGCAAGTGTTGTCATTGGGTCTTATTTGAATTGAGGTAGTCTCAACTTGAAGGAAATGTGGATTACTGTGATTTATTTCTCTGCTGGCATCTCCACTGCAGCTGGAAGTGCACAGATGAGCAGCAAAACCTTTGAGAGCGAAGGAGTAAACCAGGCATGCCTTGACACTTGGCACTGTTGTGTACTCTTATGTAGCATATGCACTTATTATGTAGCATCTCTTGGAAGCCTAATGATTAGTTTCTGATCACATAATATTTTGCAGATGCAGAATCTAAGTTACTATTCAAAGCACTCTGAGGTTGGATATTATCTTCAAATTCTATGCATTCATTGACCCTCTAAGAACTATTTTATGAAGTCAAAGAATAATTGATGGAGGATTRTTTACCCAGTTATTAGCTGTTGCAGGACAGTAAAGCTATACCAGAATGCCTACTTTGTCCATATGCACTCTGTTGTGGAATAAAAGCATACTTTGAGTGGGATTCTTATTTCGTCTGACCATTTCTACCTAAGAGCTGCTCGGGAATAGCTCCTGCAAAATAACGTAGTTTTCAAAAGCTCTGCCAGCCGGTTCCTCTCTATAGACAGAGACACCCCAAAGTAGTATTGAGGCACTCACGTAAATAGCTTTATTGTGCCTSTGAGGATTGTGCTTAGGGCTTGTAGGGTTTTTGTTAGTTTGCTCCCTCATTTAGCAAGTATTAAAGATACTTACATATATTCTTAATTCTCAAGGGCAGAACCAGGAGAACTTTTGAAAAGTATCATGAAACACACTGAGATTTTGCTGCAGTCGCTTCTGTCTTTTAAAAGTCCAACATCAATAATGCTGGCATACAGACAGTTGTGTGAGCATGGAATACCTTAACATACTGTTCCTACGCAATTACCTGTCAACCGTGTTACYAAAGATGAGCTAAAACAGATAAATTTCAAATACTACATCCAAGACATGAGGAGGCAGGGCTGTAGTTCTTTATATTCTAAAATGCACCTATCTGTCCCTGTAAAATGTCAGCGTAAGTTATACGAATGATTCAGGTTTGTGAGTTTTTTTTCCTATGGCTTTAAGCAAGTCACTTTCTCCCAGCTTTCAGAAATGGATGTTATCTGACAGTTTTTGGCCATCTAATCTGAAAATACCCTGTTCCTTCTTTAGAAAGACGTGTATATTCCACCCTAGGAAAAACAGAACTGCCTTAAGCAGAATTCCTGCAWCCCAAAGCAAAACAGTGCGGATTTTGCAATTAATTCTTCGTCGACTGTAAAATAAAAGTAATGCAAGACGCGTTACAGTTGGTAAACGTTAACAACTGATACATTTACATCAAGCGGAGCCCGCGCCCAACGTGCGCGGTTGCAGCGGCCCCGCTAGACACCGCCATGGAGGGGCGGGGCCTCCGCTAACGGCCGGCGCCGCGCCCCGCCCCGCCCGGCGCCAAGGCGGGAAGGGCCGCGGGGCTCGCGGCGGCGGCTGAGGGACCCTCTGGGGCTGTGCGGAGCCCCCCTCGCCGGGCGCTGTAAGCGCTCGGCGCCCTGCTCTGTGGGAGGTGGCCCTGGGCGAGCAGCGCTCGCCGTGTCCCCGTGGTTGTGGGCATTCCCCATGTTGAGGTGCTCTGTGGTGCTCGTCCCCTTTAGGAGCACAAATCTCCTTTCCCCAAAATGGCGTCAGGCAAGGAAAAGCCAAACAGGGTGTTGATACGTGATGAATCGTTCATTTTCCTCCAAAATCAGGAGGAGGCAGGGAGGCTGCAGCCATGTCAGAGTCACGGAGGAGATGAGAGGCATCTCTCATAAAGAAACTCCTTACTCGCTCTGTTGTCTCAGCCTTCCATTTTCTTTACCTGGCTCTTTGCAGGCGCAGTGCTTGGAGCCATCCAGATCCTCAGCTTGCAGAGGCGCTAGTGACAGGAAAACTGCCCACAAAACTGGCCAATTTTGTTCATTCTTAAAGCTTTTAGCAGGAGCGGGTATAATTTCTCCTTTTCCCTCCTTGCCCCCAGCCACCGGGAAGAAACAGGTCTTGGTCTGTCTGGTTTCTCTGCTGTGAGATGCCAATTGCCTGAGGATGGCAAGTGGGAGAAGGGGCCYCTTTAGCTCAGTGAAGGGTTACGTGCATTCCAGGAGGGCTTTTAAGTGGAGAAGGGAGCTGCCAGTGTAATTGTAACACCTTTTGTATTACTTTTCTCCCTTAAGTGTCTGAAGCTAAGGGATTGTGGAAATGACACCAGCATTTATTTTTATGTTCATTAACATTTTAAAGCAATCTTGTTTCCCCCACTCATACAAGGCATGATTTTTCATTTCCTAATTGTCAAAGTTCTGAAAAAGAAAAAAAAAAGTACATCCTGACACTATCAGAAACAAAGTATTTTATAGGCGTATTTTCATGAAATACTAAAAGGAGGGACCCTGTTGTATTTGCACTGCAGAAACCAAATAAGCTGATTTTAAAGTTAGAGTTTTCTCTCGGTTTTCCCCTCTTCTGTATACATAGCATTTCTTGCAAGCAGGTTACACCAGCTTTAAATGTCTATTTGAAAACCGAGCAAGAGTATTTGCAAATACTTATTCTAAATTACCCATGTCCTCTTAGACATAGCCCRTCGTGTAGTTTCAAAATAAACCAATCCTGCGTACTTTTCATAGACTTTTACTAATAAGGATGAGCAAGCAAACATAAATATAGACRAGTTAATTTACAAAACTTGTACTAYACCGTAGCAAGAAGAGTGAAGGCAAGCTCACAATTAAGACTGAAGCAACCAGTCTACAAAACTGATACAGCAGGTGATAAAATCCTGTTTCTAAGGAACTACTTAGTGTTCTTTTTTTTTTTCTTCTCTTGCTTTTGTCAAAGCTCAGGAGGTGATAATTTGCTTTCTGTGTGGCCATGCCAGCAGTAAGAACCTAGGCTGGTTCTAGGCCTTGCTTAGAGACAGTGACACAAAGAGGGCAGTGAAGCTGTATTGGAGAATTGACCTGGCAAGTTAACCATAAAAAACTCATGAAATAAGTTCCCTGAATGTGTACTTTTGCATAATACCTCTCCTCCCYGCCTTGATTTTTATTACCCTTCATTTATTCTTTTCCTTACTGCAGACATTATTTGCATGTCCTCATCTATTAAGTCTGGTGAACTCCAGCAAAGAACTTAAAAACAAATACAGCTCAATAGTCTACTCTTAATATATAACTAAGGAGTTGTAGCCACCTCAATACAGTATTTTGTGGGCTTTGTGTCCCAGAGAGAGGGGGAAGCTGATACCTTGTATAGCCTTTCCATTTCCATACCTGTTAAACTCTTTCTAGCCAAATTGGCTCACCTGGGAGTAACACAATGGGTTTTCTCCTTTCACTGAAGAGCTGGAAATAGATCTGAGTT